CTATTTGACCTTGAACTATTATAATGAATTAAATTGTCCCTGTGATATTTTTTATAAAGTAAATAAAAGTTGTATACCCAGATTGTTCTTTAATTTAGTTATATTAGAAAGAAAACTATAATAAATTTAAATCTCTTCCTTCCTACAAATATCCAAGAATACGAAAATACGAATTATATAGGCCTATATCTTGTGACCTTGAGAAAGGTCATTCCCATGAGTTGATTTTGGTAGACTTTTTTTTCCCTGAAAGCTGACATGCTACCAAATAACATAAAGTATGAATTAATTCTGTTGCAATTTTCTTGAGGTTGGCCATTTATTTCGACCAAATTGACCAGACTATCTGTGTCTGGGCGTTGGGATTACTGTCGCCTGTGAAACTGAGACATATTGTGTTTCTGTAAGACAGGGCATCGTTTAACTAAGTGTCAACTAGAAAACAAAAGTGTTAGTTGATTTACGCGAGCCTTTGGGTCTCCGTTTGATATAAAGAATTTAACATATGCTTGTTTTATTAATATATCTTAGACTTTAAATTATTATAAATACATTTACCTCACATTTGACAAGAATTTCATCCAATTTAAGAAACATTTGCTTACCTCGTAATAATTATCCAATAGAAAACCAACAGTCCGATGCAAAACGTTAACACAACAAAGAGCAGTCTGAGTATTGCAACATTGGGCCGTGTACGCGCCATTATGTAACCCCCCAACGACCGCAGCTGCAAGTGATGCACAGCCTTGAATGTGCACGCCGGAAGCATATGACATAAAAATATTCCCTTAATCAAGGAAACGGAATATCTAATGCACAAGAAACTAAAGGCAAAATAAGCCTTGATACGGAAGAACCTTTAAAAAAAAATTAAAAAAATCATTAGAGACCATTACAGTTTTTAAGCTTTCAGTAAAGTTTCTTCAGTTATTCAATTGTTTTGGCAGTTCTTTATTAGAGATATGCATTTACGTAACAAAACTCGCAGATGTTCTCTAATTTAGTATTCAAGAAATTTTTATAGAGTAAAACGATTCATTCACTTACCATGTGTGTCGAATGGTCTTAATTATCAGATATACTTTTAGATTATGGGGGGCGGTCGGCTAGTCTTGTGATTAAAGCATTCGTTCCGTCACGCCGAAGACCCGAGTTCGATTCCCGACAAAGGGACAATGTGTGAAGCCCATTTCTGGTGTCCCCCGCCGTGATATTGCTCGAATACTTCTAGAAGCGGCTTAAACCTCACTCACTCACTCACAGTAGATTATGGTATCATGACGTGGCAGTAAGTGGGGTCCCAGTGGCATATCGGTACATGAGTCACCAGTTAAACGTGGGGTGAGTGATTATTTATCATAACTAGGTGGTGATCTTTGCAAACTGTGGGCATCCTAAGCTCAATAAATATGCGTACGCGGATCTGGGTGGTGTGGGTGTGAGGGGACTGAATGGTATCCTGAACAATTTACTTGTTTCGTCTAGCATTTAAAAAAAATATATCCGCGACTTAAATAATATTAATGATTGCAATCTGCATATATGTATTTAATGACTGCCCACGTAGACGTGCATGTCATCAGTTTCTACATTGAGGATGTTGATGCTGATGTCTGTTCAAGCTGTATATTGTATCTTTAGAGACAGACAGACAGACAGTATAATGCCTCCGGTCCAAACTAATTACAAAAGCATGATCATGTATACGCATTTATATCATATTTACAATTGGGCGGGTTTTTTTCAAAATTACAAGAAATAGGAATAGATAGACATGTCTAATAATATGAATGTTCTTACTCTTATTAATTATAGGATATTTATTTAACATTTTACAATGAACTTGTTTCTCAGTTCAATGTAGGAATCACACAATATTACATAGAAGATGTGCAATTCATCTTCAACAAGAAAATAGCCTTTAAGCTTGCATGACATACAATATCTACACTTAAAACCTGTTCAACAATTTGAAGGGATTTAAACTGGTTATAGTAAAAACTCTCTTGTTTTGCGTGTAATGATGCTTGCCAAGGCTGAAAGAGATTATCATGTTATCTTTGCTTAAACAGTGCAGTGGAAGCTGTCTGGTTCCCTATTTGCTGACTAATCCAGGCCAAGCCAAATCCCAATTTAAACAGAATAAAAAATGTGTTTCCCATGTATTACGTTCAACACCATCCAAAGATTGTAACATAATATAACACACCTACTGTTTGCTGAATGTCATCGTCTGCCTTTGTCGTATATACAACCTGTAGGGCATTCTCCCACATTCCCCCAGAACCAGGTTATTATAAGTTGATCTACTAACCTTTAAACTAGATTTACAAAGTTTAATATGTACAGCTTACATATTACAATATGTGGTTCCCCATATTTTGAAAAAAAGTGTTTAATACAATTAAGTATTTAATATATCTGGACAACTCATATTACCACTTGACCTGTGATAATTATCAACAGAAAACATTGCCTCATTTGCTTGGATACAGAACAGATCTGATCTTTGCTCCAGATTAACGTAGGGGTGAGTACAAGTCCCAGGCATGTATATGATGCCACTGTTTCTATAGATGCACCATCACACAACCACTTGGATACAGAACAGATCTGATCTTTGCTCCAGATTAACGTAGGGGTGAGTACAAGTCCCAGGTATGTATATGACGCTACTGTTTCTATAGATGCACCATCACACAACCACTTTTATACGACCTGGAGGGACCACTATTTCTAAACACAATAATATCAGTTCTCTTCAGATTAACTTTCAGGCCAGTATGTTTACAAACACTCCCTGGTACAGTTATCTTTCTCTACTGTTGTGAACAGGTGTCGGCCATTGCTGAGACATTGTCGGCACACACGAGAGAACACGAATGGTTAATGGAAGATGTAACAGTAATAGCTTGACCACCTCTCTTCCCATAAGGGCCATTTCCTTTAAAAATATATCAAATAGTTGTGGACTTACAACACATCCTTGACGGATGCCAATGTTACAGGTGAACCACTTAGAGATACGTTAGAGGTTCTAACTCAAGCAAATAAAGTATTATACATTGAGGGGATAAAAAGTGTACTTTTACTACCAACGTCACACAGTGAATGCAGGGGAACATCGCGTCTTAAAAATTAGGAGTGTCATATGCCTTGGCAAAGTCAATGAAGATGCAGTAAAATCTGCCAAGAGGCAGCTTTTACTATTACAGAAAGAAAAGACTCTTACCAAAGAAAGTATTTTTTAACTATAGCCTGTAATAGAAAGGAAAATTGTCAATAGTGGAGTAACGATCCCTTCTTGGTCAGTGAATGGTTTATTAAGTTCTCCAGTAGGTATGTCCGTAGAAGGAAGCAAATCACCATCAATATCAGGGGGCAATACACTGACTGGTTCAACAGACAGGAGTGACATGAAGTGATCCACCACCTGCTGACATCATATTGACTGTGAAATGCCACAAAACATATTACATTGTTTAAGTATTCTCCAGAATCCTTACCAGCTGCTACTAACTGTTTTCTTCTGGGCACTGAAATATTGTTCCTTCTTAATTCGAAAGCTAGTCTTAATCAAATTTTGTCACTGTCTAAGAGCACTTGTGTTCAGAATAAAATATCTGCCACCTAAGAGGTACTCGAATGTACCTCAAAAGTTGCATATAGCTCGGCATAAGTTGCAGGACCCGTGAAGATCCGGGGTAGAATAGGTCTTCAGCAACCCATGCTTGTCGTAAAAGGGGACTATGCTTGTCGTAAAAGGCGACTAACGGGATCGGGTGGTCAGGCTCGCTGACTTGGTTGATGCATGTCATCGATCCCAATTGCGTGGATCGATGCTCATGATATCAATCACTTGACTGTCTGGTCCAGACTGGATTATTTACAGACCGCCGTCATACAGCTGGAATATTGCTGAGTGCAGCGTTAAAACAACAAACCAACAAACCAAATCGGCATTAGGAAAAAGTTGATGTCATGCCTATGGTCATACAGTCTTGTGGGGGATTGGTGTGTTTTGTCACGCTGAATCTATATGCATAGATCTAAATATGAAACAGATGAGGCGGTTTTACTGGTCTCTGTACCGGAATAGCTATTTGACTGTATTGAACAGATCGTCGATATACCTGAAGCCTGGTATGTTCTTGACCACATTATCTAGTTTTCATTTGGCCATTTACACCTAAATTTAACATTGATGTTATCAACGAGGACCTGCAGCATTTCACATAATTTACTCAGTAAACTTCAGATGACATTTGATTTACCCTTTCATAAATTGTCCTGAACCTCTAAAGTTTGTTTGTTGATTTTTGTTTAACGCTGCACTGATCAATATTCCAGCTACATGACGGCTTTCTGTAAATAATCCGAGTCTGGACTAGACAATCCAGTCACTGATATCATGAGCATCGATCCACGGAACTGGGCTATGGTGACATGCATCAACCAAGTCAGCGTGCCTGACTACCTGATCCCTATAGTCGCCTCTTACGACATGTATAGGCTGCTGAGGACCTATTCTCTACCCGGATCTTCAAAACAAGGAAACAATGTTTACCTGGAAACAAATCAATTTCTCAGAAATGTTGACATACACATTTCGGGTGAATGAATGATCCCTATAAAAGATACGTCGAAATATGGCCAAATGCAACATCTAGGGCATAGAGGCAGCTGGTGGTCAAAGCTCACGCACTGACCTGCGTTGTTTTGGGGATTGTGAATATATCGAAAAAAATAAATTGAAAAATTCTTGAAAAATATAATTATGCTTCATACTGTTGACTACAAAGAAATTGCCTGCCACAAAATTACATTGTTGCAGGGTGGTTTTCTTTCAAAATATTCAGGCTCCTTATTTATAAATAAACAATGTATTGTGGCGATGTGTTCCTACTGTAAGTATTGACAAGTATGTCCATTATTTAGAGATATTAGAACCTGATTAGCGTTATCAGCATCCACACGGAGAGAAAAACGAAATAGCATTATAACTAAAAGACTTATATTTTCCGTTCTTGTAACACAAGATAGTGATCACATTAAAGTCAACCAGTACAATTAAACGACGAGCTGACTCAGCTGGTTCAAATACTAACAACATAATGGGAATGAACAAGCAAGCACTTCGAGAATATCTAAAAATAGGTATCTATTGCCAATCGGTAAAAGGCATGGCATTGTGTCTAACGTGTTCATTCTGTCTCTAGGCGCCATATGTCACCTTGTAGACCTTCACATCCCCACAACTGACCGACACTGCCAACTGCCGGCCGCGGTCAGTCTTCTTAAAGGAGATCCCCACGGCGTCTAGAAGACATGACCCGCCAGGCAACACATTTCCCATTATCTCGTCCTTGCTGTTCACCCATCCGATTCCTTCGGTCTTCAAGCCGCAGAAAAACACATTGCCATCGTCATCCGCAGTGACTCCTCTCAGCCGAACAGTGGTATCACCCACGAGTATTCTCTTTACTCTTTGATCTGCGCGTATTCGGAACAAACAGTTCCGTTTGGTGTCTGACACTAACGCCGAGGTTGGGGACTCGGTCGCCATGTTGTAAGGATTCTCAAAAGTGTTTTTTGCAACTGATGTAATAAAACGACCACTGTAAGTCAAAATATCAACGGTATCTGTTGTCCCGGCTAGGACTTGTTTGGTTTCAGAGAGATGCGCGATGCCGAAATATCTTCTTTTGGTCGTGTGCATTACAGGTAAAAAGGTCACTTTACCTTCCCGTAGCTTGATAGTAATCGTTGCAATCTTTCTTAATGATGGAAGTGTGACAAGCACTGTGTCTTCATCCTTCTGACAAACTCCCATAATCCGACCAGCATCGTTGCCCTTTTTATCGAAGAAATGATCCCCTAAAAATGTCCCGTTTTGGTTGAAAGCCTTCAGAGAACAATTGGCCCAATCTGTTGCCAAGATGACACCAGATTTCAGTACCAACACAGACCTAACATCTGGAGGCACCTCATCGTCTTCGACATCAGTGGAAAACTCTTTTAAGAGGGCAAATCTGGGAATATCACCGTCACGTGGAACGTCGGCATCCTGTTCCAATCCGGGCACACTGGAAGCCACCGACCCAACATCCGTTTCCATCATCTCAAAATCAACGCTCGACCCTTCCTTGGCGATATGGCTGAGTTTTCTGACATCATGAGATTTACATGTCACCGAGTGCGTGAACTCACAGTCGACACACATCGCCATGTCACAGTCGTGACACTTGCACGTGGCTGGCACGTGTTTCTGTCGTTTATCGCAGATGTCACACTTTGGCGGGTATGTGCTTTTTGCTTGTGTTGAGTCTGGACCACTTGTCGCCATCTGAAACATCAAATGGTCAGATTGGTCAACTGGAACTGTCAAACTGTAAAGTAACGGAAAACTTTGGTATATTTGTATTTGTATTTTTAAATCTAATGTAGCAAGGGAAGTAACTCTGGAAGATATAATTTGTCTTGACAAGTAACTCTTAGATGAGCATGCAAAGTTTCATTCATATAACGCCAGTAACTTCTGAGAAAAGTTGTCCCCATTGCAGACACTATGTCGTAAGTTGAAAAGCATCGAGCAAGGACCATAACTCTGTAAGAAAATAATTTATGGCACCAATTTTCGAACTCAGTCTTGACAAGTATCTCTTAGATAAGCATGCAAACTTCAGTAGTTTCTTAGACAACTTGTCCCCATTTCATGCAGTATGCACTAAGTTGAAAAATGGGGAGCAAGGGCCATGAATTTAAGACACCAATTTTCGAACTCATTTAAGATCCTGACCAGTCATATCAGTGTGTAAATTTCATTTCTGTAACCTCCTATCTTCCGCTTTCTGGGCTGGCGCTCTGTATCCACTCGACCACTGAAGCGTCTCTTCAGTCGGCCTTATCGTGACAATACAGTCTTAGCCCAACATCAGCTTTGGGGACAATGTAAATTTAGGAGATAACCCTTCTGTATTTCAATTTTGAGGTTTCTAACATATAATCGATACCTGTAAATTTCATTCGAAACCGAAAGAGTCAGTAAAATAAAAGGTAAAGGGCACACATAATTTGTGTTCACTACACATAATTTGTGCAAAGTTTGATGACGGAGTGATAGGTACGTACAAACTACACATATACCAAGTTTCCATAAGAAGTTTCAAAGGTCATATCTTAAAATATCGGGAAAAAACATAAATGTTTGTTAAACCCCACTACTGATTACACATGTATAAAATTAAATGAAATTAAAGAAATTGACAGGAATATGATAGATTAATGGCCATAAACTGAACCTCTTGAACAAGTTGGTGTGCCATCATGGGGGTGAGTAAGTGTTGCTTTAAGCCGCATCAGCAATATTCCAACTATTCGCGGGTCATTGTGGGTACAAGCATGTGAAATGGTGCTTCACTGGCTCAGCGCTTTCTGGGGATAAGATGTTTACGACGGAAAAACAGGCCATGACATAAGGACACTTTACTTTCAGTCAAAGAAGCTAAAAAAATCGTCGAAACAAATCCATCAAAATACATTTTCTGCTGAGGCCGGAAATGTGAAATTCATTTCTACTTTCGCTTTCGTTGGAAAAACAACACATCGGATTCAAATGAAAGGGCGTAATATAAAGCTTTACGTCATTGCTTCTTAGGGGGGGTCAAGTGTATATATCATAAGTGTTGGTCTATATCTCAAACTAGAAGACTTTCACATAAGAAATATTCATTAATACAAATTTGGCAACTAAATTGAGAAAATCAGTACGACATTGTGACACCCACGAATATAGGTTTCGTGAGGTGGACGACTAGGACAGTGAGAGTACCGTGCGAGTGTGCAGCAGATCACATTTCTATCACTATAAATGGCATCATGTGCAGGTAAATACGGGTTATATTAAACACCTTATCGTGTATCTGCTACATGAAAACCCAGCAGGCGTTGTGAGCCATACGGACAATTCGAGCGTGTGGTAGAGGTGTGCGCCGTACACTGTGACAGTAAATGGAGGCGCCGTACACTGTGACAGTAAATGGAGGCGACATATTGTCATGGGGCCTGCAGAAATATGAAAAATAGACAACATATCAAGTCACCAACCTTTGGCAATAATAAGCAGAGACCACTATGCAACTATCTTCATTCGAAAATCCCTGGAAGACGGTGATGAAACCTGAATAGGCTTAAAAGAAAGAGTAAGATATTTTACGCTTTACTGCTAACAAAAGGGGAATAACTGCTGTAGAAGTAGGTGTAAACGTGAAACTTGCGACTGCGCAATGGTGGATGTCATTGGTATTCCCAAATATCTATTTATAAACATGTCAGCACACAGAAGAGGAAGGCTCGCTGAGTTCGGAGTTCACGCAGTTTATCCAGTAACATTCAGTGAATGGGAATATGGCTTAAACTTCAATTATCGTAAGCATGCTATTATATGATGAAGAGATTATTAGCAGGGTGTGTTTATGTACTCTCCTTGTTGCTAGGCTGACGTCACATGGCATTGTTTCGCCGATGGATGTTGCAACAAAATTCCACAAATTACATCATCGGGTATTGTGACGTTATGGTAAAATTTGAGTTGCAAGGCCGGTTCCACAAGGCGATCGTATTGTAGCGGAACGACAGTCGTTAGTCGAAGTTAAAGTATGTGAGTTGCGATAGTCTAAGCCCTACGATAATTTTATGAATTCTAAAGGTTGACCGTTGTATGGTATTAAATTCAGACGTTTCAACTTTGACGTGTTTGAAGTATTTTTCTGTTAAACTCAATTGGACTATGCCGTGGATGGTGTAGGTGTCAGTCTATTCATACTCAACAGTATAATTCTAAAAAACGTTATAAATGGCAAGTAATCAATAAAATACTAAACTCCCTCCCGTGTAAAACCAATATTATGAAACTCGCTCATCAGATACCACAACTATTCACTCGTTTCATAAAATTGGTATTACACGGGAGCTTGTTTAGTATTCTACATTTACGACCTCATCAAGTTGCTGGCGCATGTTCGAATCTCCAGAAATGACGTCATGATAGAAAAATGTTTTATCGAGAGATAAACCAGGCACTTCGTTCTAAATTGTAGCAGCTTCCCGAGGCAAGGACTATAAAGGTCCAGTTTCCACTCTTGGCGAACTAGGCTGGAATTCCGGAGTTACATTTTGGCTGGACTAACGAGTCTATGCATAGTCCAATCAAAATCGCGTAACGAACTAGACATCCAGTTTGTAAACGTGGGTTTCAACCTGTAGATTTTGATGGACTGCAGGATTGCAAAGCATATGTACTGCAAAGTGGGCGTTGACATATATGTTGTAAATCCTTGCATGTTTTTAATCAAGGTGCTCCATTGATTTGATGTAGGTTGCAGGGTAAGACCTGTTTCATTATGGCATAGATCTTTATTATCGATCAGATGGCCATTTTGTTTGAAGCAAATGCGCTACGATCAAACCTGGAAATTTGAGCATTGCGAAGCAAGGGATGAAACTGAACTTTTATAGTCCGTTAACGCCCTTGCCTCAGGAAGATGGGGAAGTACAGGTACGGCTACAATTAACATGTTAAAAAGGAGGACTTGCGACATTATGTATTTATTTCAATTTTCACAATATTGTTCCAATTTCTGGGTTAACCTTCATGATTCAACTTGGAAATCACCTCTTAACAACTGTAACCAAACAACAATGCCAATTTATACCATGAACCTTTTAACAACCACCCCTTAGAGTCATCCCAGCTTTGTCATACAATAGCAAGACAATCAAGCTGTTGATACCAAGACAAATACTGCACATCTTCAGGGCTGTGGATGAATGAACTAAGTCATAAGGGCACAGTTGCATCCCTTAGCTGTGCCAGGATCTGCTGAACATTGTTCAAACCCCAGATTCACACTGATCACCATTTATCAGCATTGGAAGGTGCTACTGGATTTTAGAAAACCTGCATGACATACATTATGCCTACCTCCGATATTACAAGGGGTCTGTTTTCAGCAGTGTTCTATTTCTATTAGGTCTCATCTATGTATTTAGTGACAAGTGAAATTTACTGCTTGTCTGAGCAGTGATTGTAATGTGTAACTGCCGGACTGATATACAGAATAAAACTTGAGTTGCAGACAAACAGGTGTTTGAACATCTGATCACCAGTTAAATCTTCAGGTACACAGAGCTTTGAACTTGAAATGATCATGCTCTGGTGTATTTGCAGGGAGCAGCACTCAGCCCAAGACCCATGCCAGACACAACACAACACACTCCTTGATAGTTCATACAATCAATGTGTTTATTATCTTGCACTGACCTTGACATCTGGAGCCACCTAGTGGCGACCCCAGAACCAACATATACACTATGTACATAACAAACTGTATACATACCGAGTTCACTTTAAAACATACAGTATGAGGAAGAGAGATGTTAGGATTCCTTCCACTCAAGGGCATTTACCAGCATCTACATCTCTTAGAGAACATTCTTATAAACCTCAACGGTGTTGAACAGAGCATGTACACAAAGTAGTGTTAGAATTTTGAATTTGAGGATGCCTCACTATTTCAAGAGCCTTCAAGAGCTATTTAACATCTCCAGCATAATCATCTGTGAAATATCCCTATTTCATTAATTTAGAAAAAGAAACTTTACTTATCAGAAAACACTGTTGTCCCTGTAGGACATGATAAAATGGGAACCAAAAAATGTGCCTCATCAGGCCAAAATCTGTATAAAATACATATTCAAAGAATACAAGGAGTTTCTTGTAAAACATTGGCAACGTTTGTGCATTATGGGAAACTAAGCTATTTCTAAAAACAAAGGAATGAAATGACAAATTTACAAAACATGATAGACTTGTGACAGATAATAAATGCAAGTGACCGGACATGAAAATATACAGATCTCCAGGACAATTTGACAGATGGACCACTTTGAAATGAACGATTGTCAGAAAAAAGACAAAGAGGTCTTTTCATGCTTGAAATGAAGGGCAAACATCCTAAAGTTTTAAAGAAAAAATGGGGACAAATACTTTTTAACTTGATAGCCAATAACGAACAATTTCATTGAGGAACACTGCTGCTAGTTCTTAGTTCAAAACATTGGACATTATAAAATAAGCACTAAAACATTAACTTTTGAAAAATGACAATTGATTTCACAAAAATGTTGACATACAAAGGAAATGAGCATTAATTGAGCTGACAAAGCCAACCTGCCACTTTTGGAAAAATGTGATCCTTCAAAACACAAATCTCACGTCCTCTAAGGGATTGAGTCCAATGTTGAATACCGTGACTCCGTATCCACGGTTACACAAAGAATCAGATTTCAGACATAAATGCTTCGAGTTTTACTCTTGATCAACTTGAGAACAAATAACAATGACCTATCAAGATGACGTGTGTTCTATTTTACACAGATAAGTATTTACAAGAAATGTACATATTAACAAAATCAACAATGTTTAAAAAGTATTGTCATTAACTAACCACTGTTCACACACATGTAACAAAGTAGCAAGTATTTAAGTAAACCAACTAGTCTATCACAGTTTCTTCCTATGTTCACATCCCCGTGAAGCTATACTGGATAAATACATCAACCGGAATGTCTTGGTAACACACCTCTTTGGTATATCATCTCATAATTAAATTATTTCTAATAAATAAATATTTCGGCCTGATAGATGCACACAAATTAAACCATGACATTCAGAGACCTATTGATCAACTGAGAGGGCCAAATAATATCTTCGTCTTTGACACTTCCATGCCATTTGGAGTCTTAATTCAAAGAATACACTTCATAAATATTTTTCTAAAGAACTTCAAACAATATATTTTACCATGATACCATGGTACAAAAAAGTGATTTCACCAAGACATTAGGGTCTGACAAGTATAAAATTAGCAACATTTATATCATGGTTCACTCTGATTAGTTGATATACAGGTGCTTAAGTCATTCTTGGTGCAAAAATAGAAATGGGTAGATATATTTCATATAAAAACACGCTGCCTACATTTAAAGGCAAAAATATTCCTTTCCAAACGTTCATCTAGAGTTGTCTCCCTTGTATCAGAGATAACCACCAACATCAAAATTCCTTTCACATTGTTTTTGAGTGTACAAATTCTTTACTGAATCTGCTAGAGGTAATCTGTGCAAATTTGGACTTTCAATGCTTTCAAAACATGATTTATTCAGCATGTGTGAGCACCATACTTTACCAAAACGTCATTCACAATAAATCAGGAGTCACATTGTGGCTGGAAATGCCCCTCACGCGAACCTGCCAAACACGTCTCCAATGTACAAATTGCAAGCCTCACCAAATATATTCCAGAAAAACAGTAAAGAAATCATATAGCTCAAGCAGAGTCCTGTATCATAAATAACCAACAAATGATGTATCATACTTCTGTGACTGAAGCTGTCATTACCATATTGTCAGTATTGTTTATCTCTTAAAAACTTCCATTGGCTTTGCTAACTTTTCTAGAATATCCAAGAAGGCAAATACAAAGGTAATAATCTGCTACATCAACTGTCTGCACAGAAACCTCTCGCATATATTGTAACTAACACTCTCCACTGAAGCAAGATGTTATGAAAACTGCCTTCAGGCACATAACAAGTAAATCAGATTTCTTAAAAGTAAATTTGAAAGGAACATGTTATGTTTTGTATGAGTTCAGCAGAAAAATGCAGCGATACACTCTACAGAAACAGGTGGGCATTGTATTTAATGCAACCAAAGGCCTGTGTGGGTGGCTGGAACAATGAACAGCCATGCCAACTACCACAAGCTGGTGAACAGCACATGTCACAGGTGGATCCAGAGGGGTGGGGTGATGGGGGGTGGGGGTGTCCAGGGGGTCCGGACACATACACACACCCACTCCCCCACCCCTTGAAAACAAAATGTAGTATGTTGTAGGCAGTAAAATTGACAGAGAGCATTAAATATGCTGGATCCGCCCTTGCATTTCATAAGCATTTACATCTAACATGCCGTATAGCAAACAGAATGTGTCCTGTACAACTACCAGAATGCATGATAAACGTTGTATAACTAGTGTCACCTATTGCCCATATCAACACCCCGCGTCATGTCGGAATATCACATCAACGACACTTTCCCAACCCCAAGCATCAATGCCTTATCACAGGGCTGAACATAATTTATTGTTGAAGCAGTGGGAAGAAAATTTTTTATTGCAACACAGGAGTAGCAAACTCAACAATGATTCACCATCTCATTCCGTTAAATACCAGGAATTTTGAAGCAAGTTCTTCAAAGCACTACTTATAAGCACGTTTTTTCAACATTTAAATAGGAAAATAAACAGGCATACATCGTTTCAAATAAAACATTACTAAATGACTAAGTCTTTTAGTATTTGTGAAGGTATGCCATCACCTTCTAGTTTCTTGTCTCAAATATGTTCACACCTCTTACGTCTTCAACTTTCCCTCCTATGGTAAAACCACAAGAAGAATGTCATTGTGAAACCACATTTCACTAACAAGTGTAACAGAACTTACTCCAACAACACAAATAAAATGCGTAAAATGTCTTGCACATTTCCAATACATATCAACTCTCTCTAATACATGCATTCACCTTGTGAAACAAAAAGTTCCATCCTAAAAAGTCAGAAATGAATTGATATTACTGTTCGTTGATATACACAACACCTTCCTTTTCCAAAAGGCAAATCTGACAAAATACCATCGCTCAACCCACTCAACTCACAAGCAGACCCAGTCGATGAACCTCTCAAATTGGTCGTACTTCAAAGCACAAAGCAGTTCTCTCACTCTTCAAAGTCAAAAATAGATTTTTTTAATTTCGTGTTTGAGCAAACAAACATTTTCCAGTGTTGAAATCCATGTTGAGACGTGGCCCCTCACTGCTGAGTTCAGGGGTAGGTAGTGGGGGGGTACATCTGGCCCGCGGTGGACACGGGGTTGGGTCCAGTGGCAGTGGCGGAGCTGGAGGTGGTGGCCGTGGAGGAAGCTACTGCTGCCATGAACTGTGCCTCCAGGGTGTTGGGGGTCAATGGGCCGTGGCCCTCCTCAAAGTCCTTGGTAGCTGCGGCAGACTGGGCCATCATTTTCTGTCGGACTTCTCGGATCTTCAGTTGGAGACAGACCTTGGTTGGGAAGATGTCCTGGTGCTTGGACTGGAAGCCGGCTGTAGCTTGTGCTAGAACAATGTGAAAACAGTTCATCAAAGAGCCAGGGATTTTACATCAATGTCACATCAACTACAAAGGAGTCCAGAAAGTAAATATAATTCCAGGTTAACATGTTATTTTACTAACACAGAGCCTGATAATCATACTTACTAATACAAAAATTCCCATTTTGTTCCCTAGCTACCCAAGATAAGTGACACATGCTCAATGTACCATACATTGTCACTCACAGGCTGCACAGCTTTACCAATACTCCAAGCACTGTTGGCTTTGTGCAGATGGGGAGTGTTTTCTCATGACTACTGACACCCCTCAACACCAACCCCACCCCATCACACCTTCAGAACAGTCTGTCACCCCACAACACCAACCCCACCCCATCACACCTTCAGAACAGTCTGTCACCCCACAAAACCAACCCAACCGCACCGCGCACACACACATACATACACACACACACCAAACTCAGTTATCTGACACTAATCATTAGTGTTTTTCAGAACAGTGGCTAATAGTCTCAACATATTGCTGGCCAGATGGCCAAGCTGGCCTTTAACGCAACTAGCCAGTTTCAAATTTCACTATCTTAACTACCGGTATGCAACAGTTTACTTTTCCAGAAATGTGATTCTGCGAAGGTAACAATAAAGTTAACCTACACTGCAATACATGAGTCAAATATTAAGAAGTGGTGTACTCTGATCGTTGATTCGTTTCGGATACTAATTTGATTTATTAGGACTTTTTTATTTCGATCAGTCATGCATAAACAAAATCACAGTTAACATTTCAGGAGGCATTCGGGCTAGAGACATTTGAGCGTCTTTAGCCCGAATGAAATTTGGCAAGCCACGAGCTAGTGGGCAGACATCTACTTCATAAACTGCATCAGACTACCCTTCCTGGTGCCTCCATTCAGTGGGCAGTAAATGACAAATCTAACATGGGAGAAGGTTCACCACCAAATGCTCATTAAGTGATTGGAAATAAAAACATTTATGAATATTTGAAAGTGCATTCTCTAAGTACTAAAATTTTCAACTAATTTCACTTAGTACAGATTCCAGGGCCCACTAATCACCTGCCTCTTCCTCCTCCTCCTCCTCCTCCTGTCCACCTACCTGTAGGGAACAGCCCTTGTTCTTCAAACAGCTGCATCACAAGCTGGCGTCTCTGGTCCAGCAGTCTGCGATTGGAGAACGCACCCGGGGAACTCGGCGTCTTTGGAGTGCGGGGGGAGTTCAAATCCTCATACTCCAACAAACCTTCAATAAAGTAGCAGAACAATGTCACCATGAGCACAAGATGTAAAACAGCCCTAACATTGGAAAAAAATTACATCTGAGGTCAAAATTATATGGACAAACAATTCCCCAAATATACCATTTATTACTCTGCCAAGAGACTGAAGGACAGTCCCAAACAGGATGACTGCACCATCTGGTGACATGATCCCGGTACAGGTACAGCCAGACACTTGTCTACAGAGCTGGAGCCGTGTTACAGAGTACCACAGGCATTACCCTCTCACTACAGAACCAGATAGTGCTGTGTACTTAGCACACAAATCTGAACACAAAACTAGTCACTCATGTTAAATAAAGTGGAAAAAAGACATACACTCACTCATTTTGTTCACAAAATCGGGATCCTTCAAAGCGTCCAGGTTAAAGTTGGATCCAAAGAACTTGGTGTCTTCAAACCTGGCACTGTGAGGAGTCTTGGGCGTGGTGGTCTCCGACTCACTGGAGAACTTGTTACTGTCAGTTTCCCCAATATCCCCTTTCACTGGGCACAGAAAGAAACACATCAAAGCATACCGCAACCCTCAACAAGGGTCATAGTGCACAAGTAAGAACATTAATTCACTTTGCTTCTGAAGTAAAAGTTAATAAAAAATATATGATTTTCCATACATTTAAATTTTTTAGGAAATTAATTTCTTGATCAGATACCATTAAAATCAAATCAAAAACAATGTTATCGGTTTCATACAAGTTGAAAGCTGTTTGAGCCTTCAAGGCTAAATAGACTGTTCATGGTATGCTCCATATGAACGCTCCTCGTGGTCAACAACATGAAGTACACACCGAGTCCTGAGACCTTCCTCCTCTTCCTGTAGACATTGATAATGGCCCTGGGACTCTGGGGGATTGGAGTCTTCGACTCCGTCTCTTCAGGCACAAACTGAGGCAGGGACTCAAACTTCCTCTCGAAGTTCACTGTTTCCAGCACCCTGAGGGACCGTTTAGAACATACATATTACTCAACTGTTTACAAACTTTGTTGATTGAAATAATGCATGAAAGAAATCATCCGTTTCAAAAGAATTATTTATCAACCTATTCATCCTGAATCAAAACTTCTATACACTGCATAGAACACTTGTCAATAATTAACACACCAGTCTTCTCAATAATCACCACACAGCAGTTTCAAGACCTCATCTCAGGAAATGTTGGATCAAAAGACATGTTTTCTCTTCGAAATGCTAACAACATTCAACTTCCATTGCAAGATTACATCTTTCTCATGAATAATCTTTTCCTTCGACAATAAGAACGTGGAATAATATTGCACACCATGCCTTACACTCTACAATACACCTTTATCAAAGTTCTGGGCAACTCTAGAAAACATAATTTGATTGCACCAAAATAGGTCTAATTTGGCAAAATAAACATGATTTACATAATTTATACCATGCTAAGGTTAATAACCCCTCAATTAAATTATGCTATGTACAGTATAGGCATTATTAGAGTTCAAAGCGTATGTGGGGGGATCCATGGGACAACTCATTTCTGTATGGTGTATGCACGCCAGTTGTTAACAAGTTTGAGTTACACACAATGTAGTCATGAAAATAATTCAATCAGATATCAATTTAGTCTTGCATGGAAATGTAGATCTCTTGGTGACAATTCTGTATAATTGTTTATCTATCATTCAAAAAGATTCAATACTCTGTAATAACATACATACATCTAACCATAAATATTCTATCCTGCCTCTATCCATCTTTCTGCCTAAACATTGTACATGGTACATGGTTCATACAAAACCAGACATCTAAGTTTAGTAAAATCTAAATATTTTTTTCATTATTTATACTTCTGAATTTTTGCAGGACCCATGACAGTACCCACGTAACCCCGGAAGCGATGACATCACACAACTTCCCATTACTGCTTGTCACCAGACAGACATTGCCAGTTTCTGGTCTAACCTGTGGCCATGTTTATTGCCTTGCTACGTAATTGTTGCTCCCTTCTGTGACAGGTGGAGTCCCTAGTACGTGTGGCTGTCCGTTAAATTCCATCCTGATTCCATATTCTATCCTGCTTCTCTCCTCTTTTCTGCCTGAACATCGTACATGGCACATGGTCCATACAGAACCATACGCCAAATCTCAGGATTTTGTAAGGCAGTGAGCACTCTTTCAAAGGCTAATGGTAAGGCCTGTATGTACTCACAAACAGATTTAATAGGACATTCCCACCGCTTGTCCTTGTCAGATACATCATAAAAATAGTCAAGTCCACACAGGTATCTTTATGTTAATTGTCAATCAAGTCAGGGAGTAATCTCTTGCCGCATGATATCAACAGGCTTTACCGGTTTTAATAATATAAATATCCACATTTGTCTACCAGCGGAGCAAAGACAAGTTGCTAAGGTTTCTCACAGCATGTAATCAAGTATAAAGGCCTTTTCAAGGAAATTTCGAATTTAAGGCCTCTTAAAGACTGCCACCCATAAGGCCTTTCCAAGCCTGTGTCTGCTGTGTCCCGTGTGAAGGCAGCTGAGCCATGTTTCAACACTTACTTGTCCATGCCGTCGTCCACTGTTTTCTTGAAGAAGCTCCTGCGTGGACTGTTGAGGCTGGGCGAGGGCATGGGGGCGCTGGAGGTCTGCAGTACGTGTGGAGGGACGGACAGAGGAGGGGGCTTGTGCTTGGCCTTCGGCTGGAGCAAACACAACGGCCAAGATGTCAACAGCAAAACAAATATTAAAAACTTGTACTACATGATAAGTGAGATATATACATCACATATATACACATCAGAGTTGTTCAAAGAAACTGGTGGCTGTCATTTCCAACCAGGGAATTGATCATGAAATTATGAGTTTGTTGAGAATGTGTTTGTGAGAACATAGCTCAGCATTCTTATTAGTGAAGGATAGTGATAAAGACCCACCATGTGAACATTTTTTCAATTTTCATTCCTTATCCTTAATCAGTTATCAACTGCATTTTCAAACAGATTTTCTACATTTGAATAATAATCAATTCCCAACATAAGTACAGCTATTTCAACAGTGCTTGTCATCACTGTGACAGTGCCTTGCTCTCATCATCCTGACTACTGCTCAAGTCTACAGGACAACATTCCCCAGCTGCTCCCCACCTGTGACGGTGTTTCTGGTGACGCTGATGCTGCAGGACTCGACTGTGTCTCGGACATGGCCTCCATTGGCTGGTGATCCCCCTCACTCGGGTCTCCGTGGGGGGAGGACTCTTGTGACAGCATCCCCTGGTCCTCGTGGATGTCAGACAGGGGGCTTGGCTTCTTCCTCTTCACCCTCATCTCTGACTCCCGGAGCTGACTGTACTTTTTCCCTTTACAGGCCCGTTGAGGTTTCTCCCCACTGTCTGAGTCCTTCATTACGTCAAAGCTAAATGTGACCTCACGGGTATCCACAGTTGTCCGCCCTTGACTCATGGCTGACTGCAGAGGCTGAGGAGGTGGTGGCTGTGGCTCTACTTGGGGCTGTGTCATAACTGGCTGAGGGGGTGGGGGAGGTCTGTGGATGGGAGTAGGGGAGGGGGCAGGGCTGCAGTGTATTGGGGTGCTGGGACTAGGAGACAGGTGATATCCTGGGGAGGGGGAGGGGCGTGGAGAGCTGACGGACACCTGGCGGCCTGTGGGAATAAAACATTAAGACAACCATTTATAATGATACAAGTGAAAGAAGAACACTTAGAATTACTGAATCCTCCCACAATATTTGTTTTGAGTAGTTGTCAATTATGACTGACCTTGAGAGACTGGTGGTCTCTGCAGGCTCTCTGTGGCGACAGGGATGCTGGCAAGGGTGGCCTTAACCTTGGTGGGTCGAGTCTGGAAGTTGGGGTTGCTGATGTAGCCAATCTCTCCCTTCCCATCGGTTGGGAAAGTGATGTAGCTGGAAGACCGCACGTTCATCACACCTGGAAACACAGAATATCAAACAGTGAGAAACAGAACAAAACCCATACAAATTGGGCAAGACAATAGTAGACACATTCAGTAGCCATTGTCATTGTGGACACCTGATCCTCATTAAAATGAAGTCATCACCAAAATGAAATTAGAACTGCTGCAATCATAATGAAGGAAAGTCTTGGTGTGATCAACTGCACAAAGTAATTGATGATCATTTGTTTTTCTAAAGAAAATAATGATGTAGATAGCAAATATTCCCCAATTGAACAAACAAATCTTACAACCAAAATAGCAGTAAAAGGGTCATCATGATCACTTTAATACTTTCTAAGGCAGACAACTAATAACATATCTTTAAATTATCTCCCCTTTGACTGTAAGAATACTTCACATTACAGTGCCTTATGCCAGTTTTGGTAATATATTAGGCTTTAAAAAAATAAAAGAATTGCTTCTGAGGTAATGGCTTTTGAAAATATTGTGCAGGCGGGCAGTGTTTTTCTTGGTTGTTCACACTAGTATGTAACCAAATTTTGTTTACAATAATTTCGGTGAAATCATGTTGTTCTTAAGTGTTGTTGCATTTCATTGCTAGGGTCGTGTGTTTAAGACGTGGATAATTTAAAGATTTAAAAAAAAATTAGAATGGAAATAAAACTCCAGCTTGGACTGGCAGCCAGTGAAGTGACTGAAGTAGTGGTATACTTAGGGTAGACTCGGTTATCTGATCATTTGTCTTCATACCATAACACATCGGTCGCTGTGTCTACATACCATAACACATGGGTCGCTGTGTCTACATAACATAACACATCGGTCGCTGTGTCTACATACCATAACACATGGGTCTCAGTGTCTACATACCATAACACATGGGTCGCTATGTCTACATAACATAACACATGGGTCGCTGTGTCTACATAACATAACACATGGGTCTCAGTGTCTACATACCATAACACATGGGTCGCTATGTCTACATACCATAACACATCGGTCGCTGTGTCTACATAACATAACACATGGGTCTCAGTGTCTACATACCATAACACATGGGTCTCAGTGTCTACATACCATAACACATGGGTCGCTATGTCTACATAACATAACACATGGGTCGCTGTGTCTACATAACATAACACATGGGTCGCTATGTCTACATAACATAACACATCGGTCACTGTGTTTACATACCATAACACATGGATCGCTATGTCAACATACCATAACACATGGGTCGCTGTGTCTACATAACATAATACATGGGTTGCTGTGTCTACATAACATAATACATGGGTCGCTGTGTCTACATAACATTACACATGGGTCGCTATGTCTACATAACATAACACATCGGTCTACATACCATTATACATGGGTCTCAGTGTCTACATACCATAATACATGGAACTCTGTGCCTGTGGTGGACTCTGTTGTGTCTTGTGCGCAGACAGCTGAGGTTTAGGGGCGATGTTTGGCTGGGCAGGGGGAGCTGGACTGGTGGCCAGTGATGGAGATGGGACTGCTTGTGGCTGGATCAGGACCTGTTGTACGTTGCCCTGGTTCACTGTGGGCAAACAGACCCCTTGTAACAAAACTATTGGAAGAGAAGGTGAGTAACTTAATCATGTTCCTTTGAGAACTATGCTTCAGATGCTTCAACCTCTGACAGACGATTGCAATGCATGATACTGCAATATGGGAAAACTGTCACCATGGTCACAAGTTGGAAACAAGACAGTGGCATAGCCCTAGACAATAGACAGTGGACAACAACATTGGATCTTAAAGTCTTCCAACTGGTGTTTGGCCTCATAAAAAGGACAAAGGAGATCTGTTCGTGACTTATCACAAAGTAGTGAGTCTAAAGTCTTCATGGTAGCCATGTCTCCCTATTTCACAGCTACACTATCTAGGAAATGGTTACAGAACTATTCATGACTTTATCACAAAGTAGTGAGTCTAAAGTCTTCATGGTAGCCATGTCTCCCTATTTCACAGCTACACTATCTAGGAAATGGTTACAGAACTGTTCATGACTTTATCACAAAGTAGTGAGTCTAAAGTCTTCATGGTAGCCATGTCTCCCTATTTCACAGCTACACTATCTAGGAAATGGTTACAGAACTGTTCATGACTTATCACAAAGTAGTGAGTCTAAAGTCTTCATGGTAGCCATGTCTCCCTATTTCACAGCTACACTATCTAGGAAATGGTTACAGAACTGTTCATGACTTTATCACAAAGCAGTGAGTCTAAAGTCTTCATGGTAGCCATGTCTCCCTATTTCACAGCTACACTATCTAGGAAATGGTTACAGAACTGTTCATGACTTATCACAAAGTAGTGAGTCTAAAGTCTTCATGGTAGCCATGTCTCCCTATTTCACAGCTACACTATCTAGGAAATGGTTACAGAACTGTTCATGACTTTATCACAAAGTAGTGAGTCTAAAGTCTTCATGGTAGCCATGTCTCCCTATTTCACAGCTACACTATCTAGGAAATGGTTACAGAACTGTTCATGACTTTATCACAAAGTAGTGAGTCTAAAGTCTTCATGGTAGCCATGTCTCCCTATTTCACAGCTACACTATCTAGGAAATGGTTACAGAACTGTTCATGACTTTATCACAAAGCAGTGAGTCTAAAGTCTTCATGGTAGCCATGTCTCCCTATTTCACAGCTACACTATCTAGGAAATGGTTACAGAACTGTTCATGACTTTATCACAAAGCAGTGAGTCTAAAGTCTTCATGGTAGCCATGTCTCCCTATTTCACAGCTACACTATCTAGGAAATGGTTACAGAACTGTTCATGACTTTATCACAAAGCAGTGAGTCTAAAGTCTTCATGGTAGCCATGTCTCCCTATTTCACAGCTACACTATCTAGGAAATGGTTACAGAAGTTTACAAGGTTTACTTGCCCAATGTTGGCTTCTGACAACTGATTTGGAACACAGATGGTCTCAGTATCACTTGGTTTTGTGCAAAAATGGAATATCCATGTTATATCAAAAGAGAGGTCAAATTGTCTGCATTTTCATGGAACATTCAGACGATGTGACAATCAGGTCATAGTCTACAGTATATAATTGGCTGACCATGGATGTTGGTAACATACACACAAATGCAAGAACCCTGTCTACCTGACTGTGCCCCCCCTGGAGCTGCTACCTTCCCTGAGGCACGGAGCCTACGTAAGCTGCTGGGATGTATACAGATCCCTGTCTAACTGACTGTGTCCCCCCTGGAGCTGCTACCTACCCGAGAGGCACGGAGCCTACGTAAGCTGCTGGGATGTATACAGATCCCTGTCTACCTGACTGTGTCCCCCTGGAGCTGCTACCTACCCGAGAGGCACGGAGCCTACGTAAGCTGCTGGGATGTATACAGATCCCTGTCTACCTGACTGTGTCCCCCCTGGAGCTGCTACCTTCCCTGAGGCACGGAGCCTACATAAGCTGCTGGGATGTATACAGATTCCTGTCTACCTGACTGTGCCCCCCCCCTCGAGATGCTACCTTCCCTGAGGCACGGAGCCTACGTAAGCTGCTGGGATGTATACAGATCCCTGTCTACCTGACTGTGTCCCCCCTGGAGCTGCTACCTTCCCTGAGGCACGGAGCCTACGTAAGCTGCTGGGATGTATACAGATCCCTGTCTACCTGACTGTGTCCCCCCTGGAGCTGCTACCTTCCCTGAGGCATGGAGCCTACGTAAGCTGCTGGGATGTATACAGATCCCTGTCTACCTGACTGTGTCCCCCCTGGAGCTGCTACCTTCCCTGAGGCACGGAGCCTACGTAAGCTGCTGGGATGTATACAGATTCCTGTCTACCTGACTGTGCCCCCACCCCCCTGGAGATGCTACCTACGCGAGAGGCACTCAACCTACGTAAGCTGCTGGGATGTATACAGATCCCTGTCTACCTGACTGTGCCCCCCCCACTGGAGATGCTACCTTCCCTGAGGCACGGAGCCTACGTAAGCTGCTGGGATGTATACAGATTCCTGTCTACCTGACTGTGCCCCCACTCCCCTGGAGATGCTACCTACCCGAGAGGCACTCAACCTACGTAAGCTGCTGGGATGTATACAGATTCCTGTCTACCTGACTGTGCCCCCACCCCCCTGGAGATGCTACCTACCCGAGAGGCACTCATCCTACGTAAGCTGCTGGGATGTATACAGATCCCTGTCTACCTGACTGTCTACCTGACTGTGCACCCACCCCCCACCCCCCACCCCCCACCCCAGGAGCTGCTACCTACCCTGAGGCACAGAGCCTACGTAAGCTGCTGGGATGTATGCGTGGGACACCTCAGCCTTGTTCCCTGGGGGGGTTGTCGCCACAGGCACGGCTATGCCCGTCCCTTGCTGGACGTATGCAATTCTGAAAGCAAATTGCAGATCACCTTATATTAGCAACATCTTTAACTGCAATGTTAAACAAAACATACATTTTCAGAAGTGTGAAGATTTGATTTGTAAACACAGTTTATTAAAATAGTTATGATAATCCTGATCATTAATGACTGCTTCTGCTGATATTGAAACAAATGGTTGTTTCTTTAGTTCATGTTATGGTTCATTACTGATTATTGGGAAGATTTCACTACCTCCTGTCTGCTTAACATGTTTAACTTGGGCATTCACTCACTTCTGTGTAGAAGGCAAGAGAATGCGCTGTTGCTGCTGCTGTTGCTGTAGTTGCTGTGATATGACACTCTGTGACTGGGTGGGCTGCATCTGATGCTGCACCGAGGGATGAGCCACAGTGAGTGACACTACGGGCTGACCCAGCTGTACGTGATGTGGGGATGTCGCCAGCACTGCAGGCGACGGATTAACAGTCACTAGTTGTGTAACCATGGCAACAGCCTTCGCTTGCTGAGGGTGCTGTTTGGGTGCTGCCATCAAAGTCTGTGTTTGTTGCTGTGGCATGACCTTGCTTTGAGGTGAGTTTGTCATACGAAGCCCTCCAGGTGCTGTGCTGATCTGGAAGTTGCTGGTCTGAACCTGTGCAGGCGGGGCCACATTATTGCTGGCCACAGCGACAATGTTCTGCTGCACAGCACCTCCTGGCAGAGCCATCTGCAGAACGTTCTGGACCTTGCCCCCCGGAGGAGCGGGCTGCACTCGCACTGACGGTAGGATATACTGAACATGTGTGGGCTGCAGGGTGGGCTGTGTGGGGGTCTGGGGCTGCTGGATGGCCATGGTGGCAGTGCCAGGACTGGACTGGTTGGTCTTAAGTAGCACATTAGTCAGCAATGCTGGGGAAGCCAGGTTTTGCACTTGTTGCTGCGGCGGCTGCACACTCTGGGGCGGGGCAATGTTGCGTAGCGTTGTAACATATGCACCCGAGTTGACCGAAGTTTGCACATTAGCACTATTGTTGAGTTTATTGGCCGTGACAGCACTAACAGTTGGGGAGTTGAGAATTGTCATGCCATATGGGCTGCTTGGAATGCTCTGTAACAGAATTGTGCTCACGTTTTTCATGCTGCCATTAGAATTGTTGCCGGTCAAAAGAGTCTGTTGGGGGATACACACATTGTTAACGGAGGCAGTTTTAGATGATGTTGTCTGTGGTAAATTGTGAATAGGCTTTGAGGCAATGGGGATGGGAGTAGTGATGGGTTTGTCCGTTGTGGAAAACGTTGGAGCCACACTTCCACCAACATGATGACCAGCATGAGTTACCATCACCTGCGGCATGGCAGGGAACTGGACTGTACTGGCTGTGGGGGGCCGGGCGACGTGGTGTGAGGAAACAGGGGAAGCCTGGCTTGGAGAATATGATAGAGGACTCTGAGGCATGGGTTTAGCGGCTCGCGACTTCTGAGTTATCTTCCCCATCACCGGCCCCCGCCCATTCTGCTTGCCGAGAGTGGTCTGCATGTTGGAGGACACAATAAACTGCTGCTTGTCCTGGGTCATTGTAATGTTGTGGATCTTCATCTGACCAAGTTTGACCGTCTGCTGCTGTGTACCCGGCATACGCGAACTAGTGCTGTACATGCCCTCATCGTCACGGGCTTCGGTCAGCATGTCCAGAGAACTGGCAGACATAAGTCGCCCATCGCGTGACTTGGCTTTAAACACGGCTCCCTTCGGCTGAAAGCTGGAGCCAGTGCTGGAGGGTCGCGGCATCAGCAGCCCTTCCGCCAGCTGCTTGTTGATGGGGGAGCTCACATCCATCTCCATCTGAGGATCAGGCATGCGGCGAATGGGTTTGGGGCGGTAAGCGATGTCTGCAGGGGTGATGTTCTTCATGACTGGAGAGAAGCGCTGTTGGGGGAACGCCTTGTTCTCGATGAGAGTGTCTTCCTCTGTCTGACTGTCGGTCTCGCTGTCTGACACATGCTCCTTACAGTTGAGGTCAATACCACCCATCTCACCACCAGCACTGATGCCACCTTCTGGGGAGAAGAGAAAATAATAGTAATATTCAGAAACCTTGTAATCATTAACTTATAAGGGTGTAACAATATATATGAAATGACCGAACAATTGCAATAGTTTGCCCTACACCAGTAATTTAAATTTAAAAATATCAATAGTATTGTCAATAGTATGCACAACAATCGAAAGTTTTAATTGTTGCAATTAGTCATACATAAAACATTAATTTTGCCAATTTCAAACCTGCAAGGATTATGACTACTTCAGTTTAGAGTTACATCCCTTTGAGTAGGGTAAGCAACAAGGAGGAAAATGGCTGACTTTGATTACATTGATTGATATAATTATCAAGCCTTAAAGTTGGTTTACTGCTATCGCAATACTATTGCAATGGTGTAGGCTACTATTTCAATACAATTGCCATAGTGAAAAAAGCCCCAAGTAGCGCTTATTAACTCATACCAGCATTCTTGAAGCACAGCAAGACTCTGGATACACCAAAGTCACAACGCAAATGTGAAACATCACATCAGGTAGAATTGCATCATTTGGTTGTGAGAGTATTTCCCCAAATATTCACTGACTGATATTTTGACAAATGATCATGCTATCTCAAGACAACACCTATACATGACCACATGGAAGAACTGTAGGAATCGACAAAGCAAATACATAATAGACCATTTGGGAGCCGTGGGATCTGGCATCTCTTGCAGTGTGATTGACAGCCCAAACAGGAATTTGTGGTTATGATGTAATAGAGGTAGGACATTTGAAGAAATAATGGTTTGTAGACCTTCCAAAATAATTCAAACAATACAAATCAATACAGAATTAAACAAGACAATCTTATGGATCATTTGTAATTCTGGTGCTTTGTTGTAAAGTGTTTACTGATGTGCAGCAATAACAGACTCATTAATGCAGCACCCAATACTATTCAATCAATACTGAATCATGCAGAGCTTCAAAATCCAAATTTTGCTCACCATCCTCGCATATAACCATCTTCTCATCATCACTGTCATCATCATCACCCTTTGAACCGAGGCTGCGGTGAAACTGCCGCACCTGCTCCTGCGTGAAGTTGTAATGCTGCTGGGACATCTGCGACGGCTGAGGTGTGTGTGGGGGTGGGGCATCATGGAATGCCACAGTGGTGCGAGGGGGGTTGTTAGAAGAGCCAGGTTGCTGATACAACTGATGGGGTCTGCCCACTGAGATGCCTCCAGATTCCACTGCCAGGCCCTGAAAAGACACATCAAGAAGACATTTAGTTCATTTCAGCTGTTCTTCAGACAATTCTATTCATCATGACAGTGAAGATTTTTTATGCCATTGAGACCAAAATCACAGCTTAATCATACTTGAATGAGCGTGATGCAGCCTGGAAGTTTGGATGGTTGCTCACTGGTTGATCCAGGGGAGGGTGCACACCTTATCCTCAGACACCCGATTGTCATCATATGCAAGTCCAATAATATTTGTTCACTTCAAGACTTGGGTAGTGTGCAACCCATTTTCCAAAATCCTGGATCAGCCTGTTCATGCCAACATGGAAGACGGTAACGTACCAATGCAATTTGTCATGACGAGAAGCCATTATAGCCAGTGGATCAACATTCTAGTCACATCAAACAACAAGCATGGTGAATTCAGTCCCTGTGTGAACACTTACCTCGGGCTGTTGATAGGACTTGCAGGTGGGTGGCAGGAAGCCGCGCACCTCCTCTTGCGGCACAGCGGAGAAGCTGAGAGATCGCTGCTTCATGATGCCACTGATAGCCGCCTGGGACAGGGGCATGGAGGACTCAGGTTCAAGGCTGGTGACCACCTCACGCTCCTCCAGGTCCAGCACCTCAGGGTCCAACTTGTCATCTGCCAACACATCAAGCCGATGTACACACTGCGTCTACATACAGCTGTACACACTACATACAGCTGTACACTCTACGTCCAGATACAGCTGTACACTCTACGTCCACATACAGCTGTGCACACCACATTCAACAGTTTTTCCAGATGAACTCAACAACATATCACAGAAAAAAAATCCTATGTGCTCAAGCAAGTTTCTGGACTAACAAGATCTGGGCTAACAAGACAAGCTGAACTGACAACTCCAGACTAACAAGATCTGGGCTAACAAGACAAGCTGTAATGACAACTCCAGACTAACAAGATCTGGGCTAACAAGACAAGCTGTAATGACAACTCCAGACTAACAAGATCTGGGCTAACAAGACAAGCTGTACTAACAACTCAGACTAACAAGATCTGGGCTAACAAGACAACCTGTAATGACAACTCCAGACTAACAAGATCTGGGCTAACAAGACAACCTGTAATGACAACTCCAGACTAACAAGATCTGGGCTAACAAGACAACCTGTAATGACAACTCCAGACTAACAAGATCTGGGCTAACAAGACAACCTGTAATGACAACTCCAGACTAACAAGATCTGGGCTAACAAGACAAGCTGTAGTGACAACTCCAGACTAACAAGATCTGGGCTAACAAGACAACCTGTAATGACAACTCCAGACTAACAAGATCTGGGCTAACAAGACAACCTGTACTGACAACTCAGACTAACAAGATCTGGGCTAACAAGACAACCTGTAATGACAACTCCAGACTAACAAGATCTGGGCTAACAAGACAACCTGTAATGACAACTCCAGACTAACAAGATCTGGGCTAACAAGACAACCTGTAATGACAACTCCAGACTAACAAGATCTGGGCTAACAAGACAAGCTGTAGTGACAACTCCAGACTAACAAGATCTGGGCTAACAAGACAACCTGTAATGACAACTCCAGACTAACAAGATCTGGGCTAACAAGACAACCTGTACTGACAACTCAGACTAACAAGATCTGGGCTAATAAGACAAGCTGTACTGACAACTCCAGACTAACAAGATCTGGGCTAACAAGACAACCTGTACTCACAACTCCAGACTAACAAGATCTGGGCTAACAAGACAACCTGTACTCACAACTCCAGACTAACAAGACCAGCACAAAGGCAACATTGCAGGGACTTATCTGGACCTGCTCAAAGGCCGACAAATTGGAATGACAAATTTCCCGATTCAGTTAATAACTAATAACTAATTTTGGCTTTGCAGAGGTGACCTGTACTTCACTGATAACAGGATCAATAAAGAGGAATAAGTTTTAATGGTTATTTCATATTATTGCATTGAATGCAATCTCATAATACAATGTCAAAATACCTCTCAATTTAAGAATATAAGAGCTACAAAAAAATCCAAATTTTAAATAAATTATAGATTTATTTCTTTGCATTGTTCTGGACAATCGGCAGTAATTGAGATGACAGAAGATGGATATAACGAACTACAAGGGAACGGAGAAATCAGTTCGTTATATACATTTCCCCTCTGAGACATCCGCCATCTTGGATAAAACAAAACACAATACACGTAATTGCAGCATTGACTTGTATCAACAGTGATCACTTCTTAGCATTCAATTGTTAGCATTTCATAACATTCATTTAATGACATTAAATTCTTAACCTTTTCAGAACCTTGATTTTAGTCTCTTCTTTATAGAAAGTCGGTGATTTTGCTCTGGACCCGTTTTGCTGGTTTAATGTTTGTTTTACAGACAAGATTAGTCAAATTTTGTGTACGGGTAAGAATACTAAGATTAACATAAAGCAAGTTTAACAAGTTTGATTGTGTTGATTTGCCGCTCATTGTCAGTGACACTGAGTGAGATTTCTCAGTTCGCTACACACGTCACTGATTCGTGGCATTTGGGCTTGTCAGGGATCAGATATCAGTTCGTAATATACATTAGTTCCCTGTGGAGAGTTTGTTATGTACGTAAATATTATATATAGGAGATAAATCGGGGATTTTGTAACATTTTGTTGTATCCGTCTTCATTATATCCGTGTTCTACTGTATAAGAAATCATCAACTGGGTTATCAGGTGTGGAATAAATAACCTCTTACTCCATTACGCTTACTGATAGTCACCCTGACACCTTGCTTGTAAAGTTCAGTATTCACCTATGTCTCCAACTGCTTCAGAGAGGTCATCAGTTGAACTCAGACGTCGGTTACCTCCCCTTTGTTTCAAGGTCGCTGCAATTGTGCTAGACCGCTTTCTGTCCTTGGAACACCACTTCCAATCTGGATGCGCCTTGAAGTGGGCCTCTTTCACCTGGTAAAAAACCCAACCATATAGTGATTGAGTATGGTTTTACCCAGCTTTTGGCAATATTCAAGCAATATCCCAGTGTGGGGACACCAGAAATGAGCTTCACACATTGTAAACATGTGGGGAATCGAACTGTGTCTTCGACGTGAAGAGCGAATGCTTTACCCACTGGGCTACCCCACCGCCCCAAAAGACATTTTGACAAAAATATAATGGTGAAAACTTTTCAATGGTATAATGCAAATATCATACACCACCAACCCTAGTTTTTTTAGCCAAATAATCTGCTGCAGACTTGCTGTTGATCATTGAAGCACAACCAATGAACTCACTTGATTGTACACACAGATCTCTTATACCTTTATACACCAGAACTCCACCAGTTCCACATGAACAATGTGATCTAAACCTGCAACAGTGGTATTAGTAGCTAAAGAACAGAGCCATATCAGGGATAAAGTGTCAGTGTCCCTACCTGTGATGCCAGATCATGATATTTCTGCTTCTCCTTGGGCCCGAGGGCATACCACCACTCCCCAAGGATCTTGCTGACTGTGCGGTTGTCCTGGTTAGGATGGCGCTGATGAACCAGAGCTCGATGCCGCTTGCTGAAGATCATGAAAGCGTTCATGGGACGGCGGATGTGGTCCTTGTCCCGGGACTGGAGAGGAAGGCATAGAGTGAGGAGGCCACATTTATCCTATTTCATGGGTTACAGATGTTAGCTTGGGTATGTTGAAACAAAAACAAAATTATGTAGCTCAAAAACATATACACTTGGCATGTAGTGGTGTGGTTGGTCAGGTATGTAGAGGGAAGGCCTTGATCTGTGTGACAGCAACTGCACAGGTTACCACAATGCATCCGATACCTTTATGTGATCAAAAGGTAAACAGGTACCTTTTTGTTTGTTTTGTCTTTCTACTTTTTGCATCAAAGATGTTTATCTTATTTTCTGATTGAGGTCTTGAGATCCCATCAATCTCATTAAAATCAGATGTTAGTTCTTGCTGCTGCTAAACAAACATCTGAGGACATCCCACTACAGATCACATCAGAATGACCTTTCGTGAATTTTGACCGACAAATGAAATGACGAACAAGAAGTCAACAACAATCAATCAGAAAGCAGCTTGTCTTGTAGTGTTTCACACTGGCGGCTTCCATTCCAGACTACACTTTGAAAAATATTTTGAAGAAAAGAACATTCTGAATGTCTATTAGATGGTCGATGTTGCATGGCAGTACTTCCCGCAGGCTATGAAAGTCTCTTCCATTTACATGTATAGCCCATTGAAGCGAGAGATAGATAATAGTATATGATCTGCCCGTAACTGTCATTCAAAATACCCACTGTTAACCTTTTCAAGGTACACTTGTTGCATGAAAACCTCATTCTGATTGTCACTTTCTTGACCTGGTGAGTGATGCTCTGATTGGTCGGATGAAAGGTCGTTCTTACTTGACCCGTAATAAGATGTCCTCAGATTGTTTAGCGGTAGCGAGAACTAAGATCTGATTTTAAGGAGACCTGAGATCTCATCAGCATGATCAGTTATCCAAAAGACAAAGGAGTAACCTTGTTGAGTAAGTCTGGTATAACACCACCTTGAACAGTGTTTAAAAAATAACATGGGCATCAGCTTAATGTGAAGAAAATACCCAAGTCTTACATCCGTTGTCAAACTACAAAATGTGTGGTTGAGTGGACTAATATTTTACATTACCACTTGTTGAGGTATACTTTCTCAAACATGCCTACCACCAACCTTATTGTATTGTAGACAGACAAAACTCTATAAGTACATTCACAAAACTAGAATTAGCATTCTTTTCCTCTTTTGTCATTCCGACAGAATTTGATGCCTGCTAGTCCTACCAACAACACATCTGGCCTTTGTTTGACATTCAAGGATTCAAAGTATATTATGTGATGTACACAGTTAAGACTAAAATTCAAATTTATAAAGATGGATCTTAACTTAGTTCCAAGATTATGACCTTGCTACATGTGCCAGTAAGCTGGTGATGATGCTCTCCTACCTTGCTACATGTGACAGTAAGCTGGTGACGATGCTATCCTACCTTGCTACATGTGCCAGTAAGCTGGTGACGATGCTATCCTACCTTGCTACATGTGCCAGTAAGCTGGTGACGATGCTATCCTACCTTGCTACATGTGCCAGTAAGCTGGTGACGATGCTATCCTACCTTGCTACATGTGACAGTAAGCTGGTGACGATGCTATCCTACCTTGCTACATGTGCCAGTAAGCTGGTGATGATGCTCTCCTACCTTGCTACATGTGCCAGTAAGCTGGTGACGATGCTCTCCTACCTTGCTACATGTGCCAGTAAGCTGGTGACGATGCTATCCTACCTTGCTACATGTGCCAGTAAGCTGGTGACGATGCTCTCCTACCTTGCTACATGTGACAGTAAGCTGGTGACGATGCTATCCTACCTTGCTACATGTGCCAGTAAGCTGGTGACGATGCTATCCTACCTTGCTACATGTGACAGTAAGCTGGTGACGATGCTATCCTACCTTGCTACATGTGCCAGTAAGCTGGTGACGATGCTATCCTACCTTGCTACATGTGCCAGTAAGCTGGTGACGATGCTATCCTACCTTGCTACATGTGACAGTAAGCTGGTGACGATGCTATCCTACCTTGCGTGGGCTGCGCGGCTCCTCCTTGTCCTTCAGAGCACTCAGGGACTGAGTACGTCTCTTGGTTGGGGACCTGGCATTCAACTTTTTGGGTGAATCAATTGGTGCAGGTTCAAAAACATCGTCATCATCCTCATCTATGTCATCATCCACCTTGAAAGCTGGAAGAAAAGTATGGGCTGTTTACACTTTCAGCCATACACCAACCACAACAAGCACCAAGCCATACACCCAGCACAACAAGCACACACTTGCTGCTTCTGCTAGATCTTTGCCAGGAGTACAACAGACAGACATATACTTGTATTTCTGCTGGATCTTTGTCAGGAGTACAACAGACAGACATACACTTGTATTTCTGCTAGATCTTTGCCAGGAATACAACAGACAGACATACACTTGTATTTCTGCTAGATCTTTGCCAGGACTATAACAAACACACACACACACTTATATTTCTGCTAGATCTTTGAGTAAGGCTTGAACCTGTTTTGGATGATTTGAGTGGGATTGAACCTGCATTGTTTGATTTCAGTGGGCTTGAACTTGCATTGTTTGATTTTGAGTGGGCTTGAACCTGCATTTTATTATTTGAGTGTGATTGAACCTGCATTGTTTAACTTGAGTGGGCTTTAATCTGCATTGTTTCATTTGAGTGAGCTTGAACCTGCATTGTATTATTTGAGTGTGATTGAACCTGCATTGTTTGACTTGAGTGGGCTTTAATCTGCATTGTTTCATTTGAGTGGGCTTGGACCTGCATTGTTTGATTTGAGTGGGATTGAACCTGCATTCTACCATGAATTTGGAATTTACTCGATTCTGATTGGTCAATCAGAGGCTATTAAATCACAATAAACCCCCTCTGATTGAAACAGCTGGTTTGATGGCCGCATCACCGCGGAAGCTAATATTCATAGAATAGTACTATTTTCAGTCATTGTCGGTAGGCATATTTAAATAATTATATCTACAATTACAGGTTACAAAATGCACAGATGCGGTTACTACAATATTCAAAGGTTGTGTGGCAATACATTTCGTGCAGAAAAATATGACAGAAATCTACAAAGGGAATGTTTTTACATTTTGGAGACAACAGAGAGCTTGGAATTTTTGCGCTTTTCTATATACGACTGTGATGTCATATCTTTTGCGTCACAATGAGCAATATGACGTCATAATGGTGACGTGCAATGGGGTGCGAAAGTCTTGCAAAGCTTGCTTTGTTTTCTGTAGGGATGCCCACCTCATGTTAGCTTACCAAGTTGCCGTGCTTATATGCTTTCAATGCCTTGTCATATGTTCGAGTGAAGTATTACTGTGTAAACAAACTGCTTGAGTATATACAGCACCATGTTTTGTTTGGTGATTCCGTAATTCAGATCAACAACCCACTCAAAACACTGGACCAAACCCGTGACGCTTCACTCACTCCGCTAACACCAAAGAGTTCGCGTTTTATTTAGTCATGCTAGAATGGAGATAAACATACTGTGTTTTCAATGTAGAGCTAGGTTACCTGTAGATTTAACCGCGCTAAATTTCACATTTGAAACCTCAAATTCAATTTAGCGGGGTTAAATCTACAGGTAACCTAGCTCTACATTGAAAACACAGTATGTTTATCTCCTAATTGTTTGATTTGAGTGGAACTGAACCTGCATTGTTTGATTTAAGTGGGCTTGAACTTGCATTGTTTGATTTGAGTGGGCTTGAACCTGCATTGTTTGATATGAGTGGGATTGAACCTGCATTGTTTGATTTGAGTGGGCTTGAACCTGCATTGTATGATTTGAGTGGGCTTGAATCTGCATTGTTTGATTTGAGTGGACCTGACCAGTATCACTGCCCAAATATCACAGTCCAGTATCACTGTCCAGTATCACTGCCCCAGTATCACTGCCCCAGTATCACAGTCCAGTATCACTGACCAGTATCACGGACCCAGTATCACTGTCCCAGTATCACTGACCCAGTATCACGGACCAGTATCACTGACCCAGTATCACTGCCCCAGTATCACTGCCCCAGTATCACTGCCCCAGTATCACAGTCCAGTATCACTGACCAGTATCACGGACCCAGTATCACTGTCCCAGTATCACTGACCCAGTATCACTGACCCAGTATCACGGACCAGTATCACTGATCCAGTATCACTGACCCAGTATCATTGACCCAGTATCACTGTCCCAGTATCACTGACCCAGTATCACTGCCCAAGTATCACAGTCCAGTATCACTGACCAGTATCACTGACCCAGTATCACTGTCCAGTATCACTGCCCCAGTATCACGGACCAGTATCACTGTCCCAGTATCACTGCCCCAGTATCGCTGCCCCAGTATCACGGACCAGTATCACTGCCCCAGTATCACTGACCAGTATCACTGCCCCAGTATCACAGTTCAGTATCACTGTCCAGTATCACTGACCCAGTATCACTGACCCAGTATCATTGACCCAGTATCACTGTCCCAGTATCACTGACCCAGTATCACTGCCCAAGTATCACAGTCCAGTATCACTGACCAGTATCACTGACCCAGTATCACTGTCCAGTATCACTGACCCAGTATCACGGACCAGTATCACGGACCAGTATCACTGTCCCAGTATCACTGCCCCAGTATCGCTGCCCCAGTATCACGGACCAGTATCACTGCCCCAGTATCACTGACCAGTATCACTGCCCCAGTATCACAGTCCAGTATCACTGTCCCAGTATCACTGACCCAGTATCACTGACCCAGTATCACGGACCAGTATCACTGACCCAGTATCACTGACCCAGTATCATTGACCCAGTATCACTGTCCCAGTATCACTGTCCCAGTATCACTGCCCAAGTATCACAGTCCAGTATCACTGACCAGTATCACTGACCCAGTATCACTGTCCAGTATCACTGCCCCAGTATCACGGACCAGTATCACGGACCAGTATCACTGTCCCAGTATCACTGCCCCAGTATCGCTGCCCCAGTATCACGGACCAGTATCACTGCCCCAGTATCACTGACCAGTATCACTGCCCCAGTATCACAGTTCAGTATCATTGTCCAGTATCACTGACCCAGTATCACTGACCCAGTATCACTGACCCAGTATCACTGACCAGTATCACTGACCCAGTATCACGGACCAGTATCACTGCCCCAGTATCACGGACCAGTATCACTGCCCCAGTATCATTGATCAGTATCACTGCACCAGTATCACGGACCAGTATCACTGCCCCAGTATCACTGACCAGTATCACTGCCAAACTATCACGGACCAGTATCACTGCCCCAGTATCCCTGTCCCAGTATCCCTGCCCCAGTATCCCTGCCCCAGTATCACTTCCCCAGTATCACGGACCAGTTTCACTGACCAGTATCACTGCCCCAGTATCACTGACCCAGTATCACAGTCCAATATCATTGACCCAGTATCACTGTCCAGTATCACTGACCCAGTGTCACTGCCCTAGTATCACTGTCCAGTATCACTGTCCAGTATCAAGGACCAGTATCACTGACCCAGTGTCACTGCCCTAGTATCACTGTCGAGTATCACTGACCCAGTATCACTGCCCCAGTATCACGGACCAGTATCCCTGTCCCAGTATCACTGACCCAGTATCACTGACCCAGTATCACTGTCCAGTATCACTGACCCAGTATCATTGACCCAGTATCACTGCCCTAGTATCACGGACCAGTATCACTGTCCCAGTATCACTGTCCAGCATCACTGTCCAGTATCACCGCCCCAGTATCACTGACCCAGTATCACGGACCAGTGTCACTGCCCCAGTGTCACTGACCCAGTATCACTGACCCAGTATCACTGTCCCAGTATCACTGACCCAGTATCACTGACCCAGTATCACGGACCAGTGTCACTGCCCCAGTGTCACTGCCCCAGTATCACTGACCCAGTATCACTGACCCAGTATCACTGTCCAGTATCACTGACCCAGTATCATTGACCAGTATCACTGACCACACAACAATCACTTCATCAACTCTTATGGATTATCAGGCAACCATCTTGTCAGATAGCTGTGACTATATTCATTCATACTTGCAAATCTCAATACCTTGAGCAGCTATGTGAGCAGTCATTCAACTGATTATTTGTTATCAAGTGCATATACATATTACTCACATGTTTCCACCACTCCTGGAGTCGTTTGAGGAGGTTCCTGTTTGCTAACAACAGGGGGTGGGGTGGCTGGCTGTGGGGGCGGGTGACTTGCTCCATTTGGGGGGGTTGCTGGAACAGCTGGTCCCGTATTGGTCAGAAAGGGAACCAGTGAATGCCAAGGATATACACGGATCTCATTCCGAGACGCTAAAACAGAGAAAAGGAAGTTGTTAACTGTCATTAAGTACAGCAAGAACCATAGGCTGACATTTAGTCCTGGAAATAAAGTTATCTTATTTATAAATATATACCAACAAAATATAAATATTTAAATCCAAATGGAGCCTAGAACAATCCTTAAATTCAGCCTCGAGCTGAGGCAATTTAGACTTGGCACATCATTCTAGACTTGAGTTGGACTCCTTTAATTTATTCTCTGGGGATGAGAGGATAAAAACAGGAATATTGCTTGGATTTTAGAGGTTTTTTTTGCTATTGTGCAATATTACATAATGCCACAGTGCAGTATACCAATGGCCGGCATGATACAGGGTATTTGATCAGCTCCTCTCGAGGACACTGACAGATGGTCATCCAAAAAGATTGCAAAATTATGAAAACATCCTTTATGACATTTGTTACAACACTCCGTTGAATCCTGTAGTTATTGTTTCACTAATGGTAGTAAAACGTTCAGCTATCAGAAACATGACTCAGTCATTATCTTCATAACAAGCTAGGCCATAACAAAGACCTCTTCAGGTTTCATCGAGCCAATATTTGGAGGCTTTAATCACTTTTTTTCTAAACTTGATAATTCTTACTCTTGACTCACAAATACTGGACCATTCCAGAACGGCTTATGAATGTAATAAAATCATTTAAAGACATTATCAAACTTATTATGAATTTGGGCAGTCTATAGCCTATGCCGACACCCCTCATTGTTTGTTGTCCTTAATGAATATATTCTAATTAATATTCATGTCTGGCATTCAACGGAAACACAGTGCCACTGAGAATATTTGATTTTAGTCTGAGTTCATCCCATGCATTGTAGTTCCCCCCAACTGAGAGTGTGTCACTGAGAACAGTCTTGTACAATGTGTCCCAGCCCGGGAGTCAGGCAGTCAACAACTCTAGCTGCTCCATATACCAACCAACACAAAAGTCACTTCAAGCCTCAACAGCCATCACTGTCTTCAAACCTCCCAGTGAAATCCAATCTCAAAGTGATACAATTAGTAATTGTGACCGGATCAGAGGGAATGACGCAGTTAATGTGCCTATTCTGAGCATTGCAGTGCAGTTGAGAGTATCACCCCTGCCAGTATGGCCTCAAGTGTTTCCGCTAAAAGCATGACAAGCACATTAACAGCCATACGGAACAACCCTGTCTCTAACAATGTACTAATTGTTACACAACCTACAACCAGTCTCACTCATCACAAGGCTTGCCCTTTGTCCACAGTCAACATATTCCAATCAAATTTCAGCCTTATAGCAATTTTATGAACATGACCAAATCATTATTCTACATTGAATTTGGACATTACTCTTCTGATTGGTCAGTCAGAGGTAATCAAATCACTATAAACTGAAAGAGACAGTTTGATGGACAAATCACAGCAGCAGCGAACATTCATAATAATCATACTTCTTTTTCAATCATTGGTAGGCATTTTAAAATAATTGATTGTACAATCATAGATCACAAAATACACAGTTGCAGTTCAACACTCCAAGGACGTGTGGCATACATTTTGTGCAGAAAACATGGTATTTAGCTCTTTTTTCTATATATCATCATATATATGACTGTGAGATCATATTTTTGGGTTCACAATGAGCGATATGACGTCATAATAGTGATGTGCGGTGTAGTAGTCAGGCTTGTTTAGTTTTCTTTAGCAGGCCTACCAAAGAAACCCAGCATAGTTTGATTGTTCTCTACTGGTTTTCTTTGGTAGGCCTATTTAGGAGTACCACTTCTGTCAGCTTGGGTTGTTGGTGTACGGCATACTTTCAATTACTGTCCTATGTTCCAGGGAAATATTATGCTGTAAACAGCATATACAGCACCTTATTTGGTTTAAGGCTGTTGCTGGCAATTCCACAATTCAGTTTGACAATCCACTCAAAACTCTTGACTCAACCCATCCCGCGTAACTCAATATATTGGCTGACACCAAGTAGAATAGAATGGTCATTAAAATATAGTTCAACTAGAATCTATGAAACATCAAATGATTTTAGATACCCGTAATCACCATGGTAATACAACCAACAGCTAAATCGAGTATAATTTCCTAATAATCTTAGTCACTAGTAGTCTATATCTTAAGACTAAGATCTACTGAAAATAAAAGCAAGAAAAATATCAAAATACAGGTTGTTGATAAAAGAAAAATGTCCACATACAGAACAAGAAATATATTACCAAATTATAATTTATGTTTTTACCACTTTCACAGGAATAATATCATCCTACTACTAGCTTTCATCAGCTCTATATGTGTTGTGACCTCGTTGGCAGGTGAGATGTAAAAATAGCACCAGCATTGTGTGGTCATGGTTGTGTACAGACACTGCTGGCCAGCGCTGGCAGTCATGTAGTAGTGTATTTATAACTGTACATTGACACATACAATACTGGGTGTAGGTCTGCCAGTCCCGCCTGGATTAGACAAGGCATGATGAAAACAGGTTCATCATGAGTTCAATTTGTCAAAACATAACCTGAAAACTAAAATTACATCAACATTATCGAAATAGTTATGTCCAGTTCTTCAACCTGAAGTCACGGTTTCATGAATAGAAGCTTCGGTGACCCAACGTCCTGATTTGATTTATATTTAAGAACAGGCGGATAGTAGTCATTCCAGCCTTGGGTGATAGATATACCATAATGGGGGTCAACTGACAATTGTTACCATTTCATACAACTAAAGATATCCCTATCTATATCTACCCTGATGGAATGACTGCCATATCCTCCCTCTCCTTTAGCAAGACTGTGACTGCATCAGGGCAAGGCCGTGACTGCATCAGGGCAAGACTGTGACTGCACCAGGGCAAGACCGTGACTGCACCAGGGCAAGACTGACTGCATCAGGGCAAGACTGTGACAGCATCAGAGCAAGACTGTGACAGCAACTGGGCAAGACTGATTGCATCAGAGCAAGACTGTGACTGCATCAGGGCAAGACTGTGACTGCATCAGGGCAAGACTGTGACAGCATCAGGGCAAGACTGTGACAGCATCAGGGCAAGACTGTGACAGCAACCGGGCAAGACTGTGACAGCATCAGGGCAAGCCTGTGACAGCATCAGGGCAAGACTGTGACAGCATCAGGGCAAGACTGTGACAGCATCAGGGCAAGACTGTGACTGCACCAGGGCAAGACTGACTGCATCAGGGCAAGACTGTGACTGCATCAGGGCAAGACTGTGACTGCACCAGGGCAAGACTGTGACAGCAACTGGGCAAGACTGTGACAGCAACCAGGCAAGACTGTGACAGCATCAGGGCAAGACTGTGATTGCATCAGGGCAAGACTGTGACAGCATCTCTCTCTCTCTCTCTCCCCAAGTACAGCCTCATCCCACAAGCCCATCCTTGTGTCGGAGCCTGAGGGTGTCAGCCAGGCAGCTTCTATTCATGTTATCCCACGGATGTAACACCAAACTCTGCCCGCATCGGAAAGAAGTGATGCTGGAAAGTCGCCGAGAGTGGAACTAGAATGGCTGGCAACAGCACTTGATGTCAGTGGGAGTGCAGGAGGGAGAGCAGTTAGTGAATGGGGGATCCACTAAGTGGACATGTAAGCTGGAAATACACCCATACTGGGTACAGCTGAAGTACTTACTCAAGATGTGGTCCTTGTATTCATAAGGACTCTACATAGAAGGCACGGTGCCATGGTGTGCCGGTGAATCACATATGCCATTTTGTCAGTGTTAATGACTATCAGTTAGAGAGCAGTTTCATAGAGATATTGAGATCTGTCATCAGTCAGGTTTGAATACATCATCATATATGACAACCTACACACATACCACACATACCATACACACACACAGTATTCACAATATCCTCAGTCTGACTGTAGGAAACATGGGGACAGCTGTTTGATTTTATTTCATTACTGCATTTGGTGTGTTTTGCAAATACTAAACACTATAAACAGTTTTATTGTGTTACTAGATCCAGGTATATACGACTTTTACGAGATTTTCACATGTTTGCGATAAATAGTAAAGTATTAACTTACGCTAAGCAGTTTTTCGGACATTCCAATAAATATTTTATTCATCTTACCCTAACGATAGTTTTTCTCAGTTGTATTGTACTTAACAGTATATCCCATCAGGACCCTCACGACACATGGGGCACACATGGGGCACACACGGGGCACACACAAGGCACACATGGGGCACACACAAGGCACACATGGGGCACACATGGGGCACACACAAGGCACACATGGGGCACACATGGGGCACACACAAGGCACAGCACACACACTGAGTGATCTCCTCCGTAGTTCCTCTGCTTTCCACAAAACATATCCACATCTATATCTTGTCTACATTTAGCCCTGATATCTAGTCTTATCAAATGTGTCAATTACAAAGTGGAAAACAGATCCTGTCATACATCAGCCCCCTGGCTGCAGCCCCACATGATGGTTATATAAACTCAAAAGGTCATCTGTTCTTCATATCCCCAATTCCATATTTAACAAGCCTTTTCTTTCCTCATTCTTAAATTTATTTTAGGAAAATAGACGTCATCTGACATCCCCAAATACATCTGATTTATGAGAGTTTGACAAGACCTGCTCCTGGGCCTGTGATGAGGCCGAGGCTAATGAAGGCTGGGCACCTACCCTATTAGTAGCAGTGACCTGGGGCCAAGCGTGGGGCCAGGAACCCTGGCATTTACAGATGCTAGAAAAAGGGGCAGTGGGGTGCTGAAGGAGCTATATTTATCTTCAGGTCAAAGCTAATTTGAAAATGGTATTAGCAATTTGTCACACAGTTTTATACGTTTTTCCTTTCAGGTTTTGACAAATAATAGCATGTGACAAATATTGAGGATCTCCATCTAACAGTGTTGAAGATCAACACGAGACCACTTGCATATATGTGGCTAGGCAAAGTTTGAAAGAGCTTATTAGGGGAATTTGTAGGCAAATACAGAA